CTGCCTGCCGCGGGGCCGCCGGCGGTCCCTCCGTCAGCTCCGCCCGCCTCGCTGCGGTGTGATCAATGTAATTGGTTTCTGAAACCCCCCTGGACCCACAGGCAGCATAAAGCACGGGCGTCAGAACGGAGGTGACATCCGAGTCAAATTAGTGTCAATATGACAATAAAATATACAGCCTGGAGGAGGTATGGGCTGTAAACAGACAACATTTCAATCGGAAACACTTCCATCTTCCCAATGCGGTGGGAGTGGAGGGAGTGCTTGGCGGCGGCTGAGCCGCTGGTAAATCACCGATATTCAACCGACAACACGAGGAAATTCCACTTTAGGGCGCTGATGACGGCGAGAGAATCCCGCTCTCCAGAGAGCCCTCGGCAGAGGGTAACTGTGGGTTCCCGACTGGTTATCTGCTGCCTTCCAATTCCCCTGCCCCCAACATGCTCTCAGGCTATAAGTCAGATCCTTTAAGAACCAGAGGCAGCGAGCCTCCACCGGCCCCAGGAGGCCAGAGCTCCCAGCAGAGGGGCCGGGCTGGCAGGGAGATGCCCTTTCCTGCCCCCGCCTGGCCTCCCTGGGAGGCCTGCAGGGCTGGGCTCTCAGCAGGCGCCCCACCAGGGCATCCCCCTCCCGCCTCCCCTCCCCACGCCATGCTTTCCCCTACGGAGGATGCCTGCCCGTATAAATGAGATTATTTTAGGCTCGATGGAGACAGAGACAGGGACGCCTTCCTCAAATATTATCAGGTTTCCCATTTTAAAAAAATGCTAAGTTCCATTTTAGCATCCATTTCTTCAACCCCCAAAGGCGAGTCTATTAAAAGTATAGTATTAAATAAAGAAGTGTGCAGATGGCCCTTGTCTGAGATGAAATTGTGCCACTGGTTTGCCAATGAGTGGACGGGGCCTGCTCTGCTGGATGCAGATCCCAGAAGCCGTCTCACACCCTCCCAGGCAGCCTCAGCCTGCAGACCCCGCCCCACACCCTGACTTGACAGTCAAAGCCCAGGAAAGTTCTCTCTGCCCCACTGTTCTGCGTCCTCTTGGGCTGTGAAGGAGGTGCTGAGAGAGGAGGCTTGCGGGGGTGGCCTTTGTCCTGCCAGGAGCTTACACGGAGCAGTGCCAGGAGGGAGGACACGGTGGCAGGGCCTCGCTGTGTCCCTCGCACCTAGAACGGCGCCTCACTCAGCCTGAGAAGCTGAGATGCTTCTCTCTGTGCCCTGAGCCCTGAGCCCGCTTGCGGGGGTGGCCTTTGTCCTGCCAGGAGCTTACACGGAGCAGCGCCAGGAGGGAGGACACGGTGGCAGGGCCTCGCTGTGTCCCTCGCACCTAGAATGGCGCCTCACTCAGCCTGAGAAGCTGAGATGCCTCCCAGGCCAGAGCTGGATGGCGATGGCTCCCTCTGTGCCCTGAGCCCTGAGCCCAGGCGTTCTCAGGACCGAGGGGCAGGGCGACGGCAGTTGGTGTGATGAGTTAGTCAGCGGCAGCCGACCCGAGCTGGGTGTCCTTGTGCCCACTGTGAACCCACCTCCTCACTCCCTGCCTTCCAGTTCTGATGCCCAGCCCCACCCCCGCCGTGTGGCCCAAGGCTGAGAGCCCAGAACACAAAGCTGCCCTGTTCCCAGCCCCTTCCCGGCGCCCTGCAAGCTGACAGCTCTTTTCCAGCTGTTTCTTCCTGAATGAGTTGCATCTTCCTATCCCAGGTGCGTTGTGACTGCCACTCACGCGCGTGCTCACCCACAGGCGCAGAGGTCTGCTCCCTGGCAGCCATGCTCACACCCAGAGTGTAGACACAGAAGTGCCAGCCAGTGCAGTCGGAGCTCCTCGGGCCCCGAGGTAGGCATGGAGGACTGGCAGCTGGGCTGGGCAGGACTGGGGCATTGTCCCGGGAGATGTGCCGACTGACCCGGGTCCTAAGACACCGTGCAGGATGGAGCCAGGCCGACCTGCAGGAAGGGCACTGCAGGCAGGAGCGGGGAGCTGTCCAGGGGAGTCTAGATGCAGTGGTGGCGGCAGTGCTGTGTGCCCGCCTTCCCAGAACGGCCTCTCGGCTCAGGCTCATTGCCTGCCTCTCGTTGGTCACTTATCCCCTTGATCACTCGGCAGTCACACCCTGGGGCTCCTAGTCACCCTCGGGGTGAAATTCAAACTGTGACATGGTTCCAGTGGCCTTCTCCCCCAGCCTCATCTTTCCCACTTGAAAGACGGAAAAAGATGCTGGTAGAAAGACATTTAAACTACCGTTAACTGAGCACATACTACAGGCCAGGCACCGAGACAGGTTCACACACAAGATCTTATCCAGTTCACATAGCACGCAGGGCTGGTGTCACTGTCCAGACCTTCCTGGTCCCACCACAGGCAGGCGCTGGCCTAGGTGTGCCCCAGCTCACTGCTCACCACCACCCTGACAAGCGCCCTGGTGTGGCCCAGCTGCTCTGGGCTGAGCTGGAACACAGCTGGTCCAGGGGGCCCTCCCTGAGGCCATGACTCACCGGCTGGTCAGATGTGCCGGGCTGCCTGGAGGTGGTGGGCCCAGGAAAAGCCAACGATGCCAGTGACAAACAGATCGGGGCTTGGAACCCTGACTCGCCACCTGAGCAAGTCACCTGGGCTGGGAACCCGTTGGCTCATTTTAAGTAGGGGTATACTTCTAGCCTCAGGAGGTGGCTGGGGCATCACGCGGGAGAATGTATGCGAGGCAATTCTCCTCACAGCAGGTGCTCGCGCCTCTCCTGTTCTCGGGACACCTGCTCCACCTGACCCAGTGGCCAGCTTCTCTGTGCCTGCCCACCGTCCAGCTGGCCCAGGGAGGTGGGACCGGTTTGGGGTCACCTGACAGTAGGACATGGCTGTTGGGACACACTGTCCAGTTTTATGCACTGTATGTGGTTGTCGGGTTTCTAGCTTCGTCAGGTCACGGGTGTACAACCTCACCACCTGCTGTCACCCTCCGGCTCCCATGGGAGCCCCCGCAGAGATGGCGGGAGGAGAGAAGGGAGCATATGGCGAGCATGCACGGGTCCAGCAGGCTGGGCTTCACTCTCTACA